TTTCGCTGTCTTTGCTTTGCTAATTTTGCTTCTAGTTCGTTCCTTTCCTGAAAAAATTCACTTAAAATTATTAACAACCAAGAGTCTGTAAATTCTGAGCAACGAGCAATAATTTTGTAGGATTTGAAAAATGATAGCGAAAAGCAAAAAATGAAAAATAAATTTTGCAGCAAAATGAACTATTTTCTAATATTTTGTGTGTTTAGTGGGCGCATTAAAAAAAGACAGCATTAGCAGGATATGACTCAGCCAGAGGCACCAAAACACCTCGCTCTTTACGCTGATCGTTCCGGGATCGAGGGCTTCGCCCATCAATTCTGCCATTTTAAAATGATCGCAAATTGCTCCACAGTGAATCATTCGCAGACCTATTTTACTAAAGACTGTCTGCCGAAGTGCCCTTCACTAATAGATAAATTATAAAAGCACAAATTTTTCAACACTTTTACATTGAAAAACGATGACGATGATTGTCATGCCGAGAGTAAACAGGTGTCTTGGGTACAAGCCCGCAGAGAAGGTATCAGCAGAGTGTCGAAGTTTTGGTGGTAGCAGTGCTAACCTCATCGCAGAGAGGCCAAAATTAATTTAAAATCAATTCTTTCCGCCAAAATTTTTGCGAGGTCGTACGCGGTGCCCGAGGGTACATTGAGGTTGCATTTAAATTCGTGGAGCCCCATGTGGGCGTGGAACATATTATCAAAATTTCAGCTTCCTAGCTGCTCTGGTTCCTGAGTTAAAATTCTCGGATAAATTGCTCTCGGAATACAAACACACACGCAGGGTCTCGACAATGTGCGTTTGTGCAACTGTTGCAGCACAAAAACGCACAGTAATACAGAGCTGAAGGCTATCAGGATACTGAAATAAAGCTAGCTAGAGATGCTAAACTTCTGGGCTCTTTCATCTGAAAGATCAAGAAAACTTTCTGATAAGGAAAGCTAATTCATTTGGAATCATAGATATAGCTTGCCTAAATTTATAAAGTTTTGGTTACTAAAGTATCCCTGGCTGGCCGCTTTTTACCTCGATTATGAGAGAATGAGAAAGTCTGAAATGGGAATTAAGCTTTGTTAAATGAACAGAGCAGAAGAAATTCATCATAACTGCTAGACATTGGTAATTTCGGGAAGTTCGCAAACAGCCATCAGTCTTTGGCCAGTTAGGCGGCTGACTGCTCATATGATTGGATTATTATTCTATTAATAATAAGCAACAAAACGCAGGTGTGTGCAGAGGTAAAGAAGTCGACGCTTGTGAGCTCTGATGTAGGCGCTTGCCTTCTAACACGCAGTGCTCGGCAATACGCTCTCGGCTGTACTTCACTACGTCCATGAATAGTTGCTTAAACTAATTGATTAGCTTACACACATGTAATAACCCAGAAATACAAATACATCCCTCCGAAGTAGTTTGGATAATCCTAGCAAAAAACGATCCTAGCAAAACTGGAGTATTTGTGTAAAAATATTTAGCTATTTCCTAGATAATACTTGAATTCATACTTAGGGAATTCCTTGGTGTGAAATTTTTCAAGTATTACGCAAAAGTACTCTAGCAATTTGCATCCTGAAGTTTGTGTACGATATCCGAACAATTTTTTTATGATACTTGTATTCAAAATTTTCTGTGTAAGGAGCAAAAGCTATTGCTTAGAAATGCAATAATTTTTTTTTTTTTTGTTTGCAGAGAATGCGCCCATATTTTAGTGAGGCGATCCTTCAGTCTGTCAATACATATAGGCAAAACTGACAATTCAGAGATTTAAGATGAATGCACTTATTTTTTTTTTATTGCAGATGATCAGACTAAAGTGATTTTGCGCTGTCCTAACTCAATCGGATATGCTTGTCAATATTCGATCGTGCTAGGAACTGCCACAGTGTAAGGTCCGTAGTGTTCCAGCACATATATATCCAAGCCCTCATATGCCTATAGAACGAAAAGACGCTCGTGTCAGATTTCGCGAAAGGCAATCCTTTCTGTAACAAAGCATTCTAAAACATCATATCAAGATAGCCTTCAACTGGTGTGTCTTTGAAGTATTTTATACCAATTAAACTAAGTATAAAATCTATTAAATTAAGAACAGTTAAGAACATTTACAAAAAAAAACTTTAATAAGGCAAAACTGACGGCTGAAATGTCCAGACATTATCACATCGTTTTAATAATTTAGATTTTTAAAAACCAGGATGAAATGTATGAACATGACGATTAGCCCCAAGGTTTTGGATGACTGCGCTTGGTGATCTCTCAGTAGTATTTAAGGTCTGCAAACTTGTAGCTTCAACGATTGTTGTGATAACGGAAAGGCCACAAGCTTTCTTGTGTGGAGTTGCCTCGATGTCTAGCCTCATCTCCTTTTCACTAGTTTTGCAAAAGTTTAAATTGTGAGCAAAGAGTAATGAGAAACAGAAACTCCTAACCCCACAAAAACACTAAATTTGCCACTGATTTATAACAGGAATGACTTGTCGCTTGAGCTCTCTAGTAAGATGAAATTTTGCTGGGAAGCTGCAGTGTGAAGTGAAAAATTGGAAAGACTATTGTTTTTGGTAAGACGGATAAAAACGCTAACCTTTTGGAGCATATATTCATCGCAACTAAACTGTTTCCGTAATTCGCCACGGCTATTTTTGTGATGTACAATGGTCACTACTGGAGGACTGCACTTTGGAGGTGAATTGGCTTTTCGATTGTTATCGAGGTGATCGGCCGCTGTAGCCACTGGCGCTGGATCTTCAAATGGTTATAACATTATTACGGCGATCTGTAGTTACGAGGAAATTTTAACCGATTTAGTTATTAACCCCCTGAACGACAAGTTTTTTTGGTTGATTGGAATAGCCTATATTTTAAGATAGGAAATTTTTGAAAAATCTGTCAGCTTAAAAGGTGAAAAATCTGTCAGCTCCTTCTTATTTGCTCTCCATGAATGCTGAAGATACGTGGGAAGAGCTGGATTGGTTAGCACATGTCAGTGGTAACCTCACACTAGCAAAGTTTTATCCACGGTTGCTTGCAAGCAGACTGAAGATGGATATTACTCCCTAGCGTATGCCTGCCCCAATTTACCATCGAAACGAATGAATGATAAGAACTGGTTATCCCAGTTCCAAAGTCGAACCCACAAAAATCAGTACTAGAGTGGCGCTAAATGTTTCTGTGCAATTTGCTGCATATGATGCACAAGAAAGATAAGAAATTGGATTAATTCATAAAGATCCAGAAAGCTCTCTTGATTCGCACATGTTCAGCATTTTCTAAGGGCATAAAACACACGGTTACATACATCGCTGCCACATGTCTATGATGTGGTGCAGGAGTTATTAATCAGAGACACCTTTCTAGCTCAAAAATCGCAACATCTTGTGCTTTATCAGTTTGTATTATTTGCTAGAATGAAGTGCAAAAAAAAAACAGCTGAGAAGAAACATCACCAAATTTAAGCATTTTTTTGCAAATGGCTTTCCTCGAGTCTCAAGTTATTCGGCGCCAGATGCTCAAAACTTTTTTAATAGTTGGGGACAAAAATTCTCCTGCTTTTTATTTTTTCAAAATTATTTTACTAGTATTAATTCACCAGTTTTAATTGAGCTTAATTTGGAATCTATTCGCAGTTCCCCATTTATTCTTTGATCAAATTTATGTCTAGATCGCTTAGTATTCAGCCTTGTTTTCTCCCTTTCACCGCACTTGTTGCCTGCCAGTAGCGGTTTTCACTTTTGTTGCTAAATCAGTGTTTTTCCGGTTAAGCTCAGCTGATTTAAATATCCTTATTCAGAAAATTTAGTTTAGCAGTTCTTACTAATCATCGCTTTCAGCCGTTCACACATGCAACTGACTTAGAGATGCGTATTACCGAAAGACTTTTGGCTCAAAAATTAAGATGCTACGTACCTTCTGCTGGTTTCTCGAAAGTTCGATTCTGAGCAACGGCAGATTCTTTTTTGCACGTTTCTGGTCTGTAATCCATCCAGGCTGATAAGCCAGCTGGTGCTTTTTGTGAGGTTACTTGCCGCGCACGCAGCGTCTGTCCAATAAGCTTATCCATGTCGGTGATTTCATCGTCTGGAATAACACGCATCGGTGGCGTCTGCTCTTTCTGCGGCGGTGGTGGCGGAGGTACTGGAATTGAAGAGGCATGTGATGGAGATTTTGGATCGGGAGGCTCGTGCGCGCTTAACTTAGCAAGCCTTTTTTCCAACTTGCCAGCTAATTCCGGGTCAGCCATGCTGCTGCAACTGCTTCGTTCGATGGTAAGCGATTGAGGGATTTAAAAGCTCGAACTTGAGCTCTCCTCTTCTCTTCGTGTGCACTTCGCAGTGCTCCTCCTCATTGCTTAATATCCAGTTTATGGAGAGACAAGCATACAGAGAATACGGCTGCCGATCGGATCAGCTTAGTGTTGGACAAGAAAAGACTAGCTTTCCCTGTACTAGTTTTCCAGTCTCCTTATTCGCTCCAGTGGTTCTTCAAAAAGCAGCTACTTCTCTGGAGTATTTCTGTCCGTCGTTCGCATTGGATGCAGGAGATGGCACTTTCCACTTACAAGTGCAGTAGCAATTATTAAAAACAAACAAAAAATATTATAATTAGCCAGCGCGCCGAATCCCGATGCGAAGACGCGTTGTTTTACACAATTCCCAGCATGTCTTTGTTGCCAATAGTATTGTTTTCTCCAGCAGATGCTTCAAGTTGAAAGAAATCATTGGCGACGCACACCGGGTGGGCCTGTCCGATCATGCGTTTTTGCAGAATTTCGTGCTGCAGCAAGATCGCTGGGAAACCCTGTAGCTAGAATTTTTGACTTAGTGGTCCTCCGACTTTAGGGAATTAATTATGCAACTACAAGGTACTTTGTCAGGGAACACCCCTCAAAATTTCACCTTTATGTCCTTTCTGGTTCTCAAGTTAGCATTTTCCCCGCCAAAAAATTTCACGGAGCCGTACTTGAGAACCACGCACGCTGAAGAGCTGAATTTGATATCTTTAAGTTGTGCACAGACTGGGAATATTCTCTTAACATTTCAGCCTCCCAGCTTCCCTGATTCCCAAGTTAGCGACTATTCCGCTGGGAAGCTTCACGGGGCTATACGTGAGAACCAGACACACCTGGGGCTGAATCTGAAATCTTTGACTTCTACTGGGCGTAGGACATAACAGCAGAGCTTCAGCTTTCTAGTTTCCCTGGTTCCCGAGTTAACGATTTTCTCATCAAAACTTTCACACGCTCATTCGCGGGCCCAGACTTAAATGAGGGTTAGTGCCGCGGTCCTGGGTGATACTTTACCGAGGAATTCACTGGCAAGTTTTGGCACCGGAGCTTTCTTGGTTCCCGAGTTGAAATACCCGAGACACACACACACACACGCACATACACACACATACACCAGGGTCGTCACAACATGCCTTTTTATGCGTTTTGCATATACGTAAATTGCAAAAACGCATATTGGGAAGAGGCTGTATGTGTGTGTCTGTGTGTCTGTGTGTTCGCACTTTTTGTCACCCACTTTCAACTCGAGAACCAGAAAAGCTAGAAAGTTGAAGTTTTAGGGGGAAGCTCCCTGTCCTAGCACAACTTAAGTATTTCAAACTCAGCCTTGAGGTATGCTTTGTTCTTACGTACGGGCACTTAAAAGTCTTGACGAAAAAATTCCTCACTGGACAAGTAGACTACTTTTAAAGAACGACAGTTAAATGGAAATTGTGCATTTATTTTGCAAAATTTATGGTGATTTATGCTAGTGACCGCAAAAGGTAGGTGTAAAGCAATAGCCATTCATACAGTTGATGACCTGAGTAATTCAAGTTCGGTGCAAAAATTCATGGTCGCACCGGCTCGCCTGGTGCGTTCCAGCCTGGGTTGAATTTGCGTATATGCAAAAATGCATAATGAGATTGGCCATCACGGCTGTGAGCAGACATCCACATAAAATTCTAGCTTTCTATCTTTTCAGCTTCGCGAATTAGCAACTTACCCGTACGTGGGAACCACGCACACCAGGTGGCTGGGTTTAAATTCATTAAATTCTACGTAGACGGGGAACACTTCCTTAAGATTTTAGCTTTCTATTTCGGTTTCCGAATTAGCAGCTTACTCGCCAAAAATTTTCACTAGCCTGTACGTGGAAGCCAAACAGGGGAAAGAGCTCATTTCAGAGGCAAGGGCCCATAAGTGCATGTAGATGAAGTTCCCAAAGTTTCAGCCTTTTAGCTTTTGTAGGTCTCAAGATGAAAAATCGGTACAGACGAACACACAGATACATACATACACATAGACAATCTCTTGACAATATGCGTTTTTGCATTGCACTGATGCAAAAATGTATGATATGATTAACAAATAAGTGCCCCATGTGTTAGAAAACCAGAGTGATACATAAATATTGGCGTAATTTACTCAAAAGACGTTTTGCTTTGGTACTTTTACTAGCCGCAGTTCATATAGCCATGGTTCATCTATTTAGCTGGCAACTTTCTTCTAGTAGCTTTGACTAGTAATAGAACACTTGGTGGTGGTCTTACTGCTGGGGATTCTGGCGTTCCGTTCCCTGCTGGAAATATCAGCTCAATGATTCTCACGACAGAAGAAAGAAGAAAGCGGTTCGTTATACATTAAAAAATCCAAAACTGTGCTATTCACCACTATGTATTTTACACGTAAAATGCATGTGGCAAGATTTTCCCGAGTAATATTAGCAGCCAAGGCTGCAATACTAGCAGATATTATTTTTCATTAAATGATATACAATGCTCTGAGGTAAGCCGTAAGTGTATTTTATGAAAGTATTGCCATTACAGTTAGTTCAGGCATTTCAAAGTGATTTCTGCGATGATGACCAATTGGCTATATGGTAGGGTTGTTACTGTACGCATTTTTTAAAACTTAGCAGTCTTGTTTTCACTTGCTGAAAGCAAATGGAGTTTTTTTTTTAACATTCGTTGTGACAGGTCCAAAAAAAAAAGAATGGTAACATTACGAGCCGAAGCCATGTCGTCTTTCGCAGATCTTACGCGCGATATTGAAGAAACTGACTTACCCGAAAAAGTCAGGCGACTTTCATTTCAGGCCAGTTAAAAGGAATTACAGTGGAAAGTTTTTTGTTCTAACTCACTTCCATTTAGTTTTACTCAATGGATGTAATGTTCGCGAGACATGTTAGTTGGAGTTTCAAAATGTTGGCCTGTCTAAAACCTAAGTAACTGCTCTCATGAAATTCTTGCAGTTGCTTGAAATTTTCGATCACAGAACAACAAACTGCAGAAATGAGGCAGTTCAGTTATGTAACTTTTAAAAAATTGGAACTCTATTTGAAGCTCCCTTGTATTGTGCAGTCCCGTGGTAAGGTTTTTTGCACTTTTTTTTAGAGCTTTTCACTCTTTTCCATTCAAATAGTGCAGTGGCACTAAGTTTGTTTGTGTAACTCAGGTTGTTCTATTTTCAGAATTCCGCTGCACAGGGTTTATTTCTAAAAGCTACGAACAAAAAGTGCGCAGTTCATTTTGAAGCTTTGTCCAGAAGAAATGAATCGGTACTTGTACGTTTTCATGACTATGATAAAGTTAGATTCATTTATTGCCATCGTTTGTTGTTTTCTTACCGGCTTTTTTGAGCTTGATGATGTACATCACTAAGAAATTTAAAGTGAACGCACTGCATTTGAAATATGCAGAAGAGGGTAATAGTTATGAGCGACAGAATTTATTCCGATTCCAGAGTTAAAGAATATTGCGCTCCACAAACGTAACTGTTTGGTTTTTTGATGCTTACTCTATTGCCGTTAATCATGTATCCAACAAGGAGGAGGTAAAATCCTTGAAATACTGGGTTAACAGTTTATGTTTTGAGCAACTAAGAAAGTGGATTATAAGGAAGCAGATTATAGTTCCGATGGCAACACTCATAGGCTGTTCCAGGGCGGTTTTCTGGGGAGAGGTAGGGGAAGGGGGGACCCGATTTTTGAAAACTTGGTAATACTCTGGCAGAATTACAGCTATTGTTTTCCTGCTAGTTCTCGAGTTGACACAGTGCTAAATGTGATCTTTTTTGACGTGATTGTGCGCGTGATGCAAGCTGGCTTTATAAACGTTAGCTCACATATAACCGGAGAATATTCCTTTCAGCTTCCAACGTTTATCAGTTCCCGAAGTCATTTACTGTCAAAAATTAACATGCTCTTCTAGCGCTTACACATGAGATGTACGCGCATGTAAGCGCTGATTTAAAACTGCGGCAGTTGGGGACAGAGAGTGGTACGTAAGGTGTTTCAGTCTCCCAGCTTAGCCACCCACTTTCAGTCTAGTGAAGTAGAAAATTAATACTTTTCTATAGGACTTTTTGAAACTTTTGATCTATAGGAGCATAGGAAATAAATTTGGGATTAGTAATATTAACCCAGAGATCGAAAATGAACTTAGCCTTCTCTCGCTGTCGTGGTTTACGACAGAAAACCTATGTTACTTTTTTGTGCGATTTGTAGTTTCCTACACTTCCCTCCGCTATAAGTTCTTACCATAAACATTGTTCCTGTACGAGCCCCTGACCACAATTTTATACCTCTGTCGCCTGAATGAGGTGTAAAATCGAGACCAGTAGCTCACACAAGACGTGAGCGAAAAGGTTTCTCTAAAGGTGAGGCATTTTCAAACGGCAGGCTTTTTTACGGCCATAAACGAGAAAAATGTGGAAAAGAGAACTGAAGAAAAAGCGCTCTACAAACTACCGCTTTATTTGGTGGATCTTCTTAATAAGCATATTATAGAGAAATACAGTATTAACACCAGATCCGCACAAAGTTTATCTCGGACAACTTTATAATACCAACTACAAAGAACTGTAAATGGGAATCCAAATTCATATTTCGCAATCGAAAAAAGTAAGCGAAAAAAGAGATGTGAAAAATATTTTTGACAAATTGAGAGAAGATTAACGAGGGTATTTTATGCAAATATATAAGTTGATAAAATACGAGAAATATCACAAAGCGAAAATTTCATAGGATTCGGCACTCTCCCAGGATTATAAACACTAGGATTATGCAAAAACTTAATTAGTATTCCCCCCCCCCCTCCCACTCCTCCCCCTGAGCGTACCTAGTAGAAGCCCATTGGGTTGGTCGCGCCTTTTCCTCCTACATTTATGAGTAGCTTCCTCTGGTGACTTCCACTATCGTACTGCATAAAAATCTAGCATTCGAGCACAAAATTCACTTTCCTTTCCACTCCAAC